CAAGAATAGAAGAGCCAGTTCAACATTCAATCACGGATGCCGGGAATGACAACCCGAGGAAAGGCAGGTATTCGTACGCGGATGTTGGGAAGGCATACCACTGAATGACCTGCTCACAGGTACGGATGTCGGGAGTGACATCTCGTGATTAGACTAGGAGAACTGAAAAAAAAAGGCTCAAAGCGATGTGGGAAAACAAAAACCGCTGCTCGTGGGGTCAAAGTACGGCTCAGCATTATGTCACAGATGTCGGTAAGGCATGCTGTGGAAAGGCAGGAGAGCAAAAGACCATATGCGTAGCAGCAAAACGGGGTTAGCCCGGGCTCAGCAGGTCAGACGATGTCGGGCAGAAACCTATGCCCTCAGGCCGCGGAAGAGACGACCTGGTGCTAGGGGGGTCTCAAGACATCAGAACCATCAATGTTGAGCCAGGAGGAAAGGGTGAACCGGAAATATATAGCCCCACGCAAAGATAAACCAGAAGGACAAGCAAAGCACAGGGAAACAAGGAACAGGACAGAGTAGGAGCGCCCTCTAGCTGTAGGGGGCGTGACAATGACATTCGTTCAGTCAAATTAAATTTCTCACTGGCTAAATGTAGACCTGAAACAATTATCTACTGGAACTTTTAGACTTCAAATAAGCCATGATATTAAAATGTCATTTTATTGGGGAATTTATTTGGCTGATGCTTTTATTTCGAGGAAATTCTATTTTTGTTCATTTATTCACCAGCTAGATAATTGTACACTTTGAATTAGTTCACAATGTCTTTCACTAATGGGTATTGTTAAAGTTAAAATGGAATAACCCACTTAATCTAAGTTTAAAATAAAAACAAGCTGCCAAACTCATTGCACAGAAAGATCACCATTAAACTTCTCCTCGGTTTATTGCAAAGGTGTACTGGCATAATATCTCCCATGAATGTCTGGAAAAACTGCTGCATCTCAAAATGCGCAAAAGTACCACTGCAAGAATGGGCAACCTTTTTTTTTTCCCGCATAGTTTCATAGGAAATTAATATTGCTAAGGAGAACATTGATACCTTTGAAATATGATACTGCTGAAGACTCCACACCTCTTTGATGGCAAAAATATATTTTTGTCTTAGAAAGCAGACCCACTGGCTGGAAAACAGCAGACACAAACTTATATTCTTTAATCACTTCAGGTTTTGAAATGTGAACAGAAAATTATTGTGGTTAGAACGGTGGTGAGAAATCGAAGGAGGAAAGGACCATGAGGAGACAGATTAATGGTGTGTAACAAATCACTGGGAGGTCTGCTTCTCAGCACCTGAAGCTCGTGATGGATCAAGAAAGCTTCTAAAAAAATTGTGCATTCAGTTGACAATATTCAGGGATGAATAAATTGACTTTAGATTATTATATCTGCAGTACACAGCCATAATTATCCAGAAAGATACATCCATTACCAGAGGACTTCCTTTTCTAACCAATTATACAAGTTTTGCTTTTGGTCACGGACATGGAAAATAAATAAATGCTCATTTTTTGTTCTTTCTGCCAACTAGACATATTTATCTAAATCTCTTCATTCAAAGATTCAAAATCTCTTCAAGAGTGAGACATTTAATGCTTCATATACAGTACCTAAAACACACTACATGTAAGAAATACTATAGTAAGGTTTTTTATACTGTACATTTGAAATATCTGAAACAAAGTCTGAGACAGAACACAATAATATTTATAAATCTGAAAGGTTAACTGCCTCTTGTTTTATAATAATAATTAATAATAATTGCTTACACTTATATAGCACTTTTCTGGACACTCCACTCAAAGCGCTTCACAGGTAATGTTGACTCCCCCCCACCACCACCAATGTGCAGCAATGTCCACCTGGATGATGCGACAGGCAGCCATTGTGCGCCAGAACACTCCCCACACATCAGCTATCAGTGGGGAGAAGAGCAGAGCAATGAAGCCAATTCATAGATGGGGATTATTAGGAGGCCATGATTGGTAAGGGCCAAAATGAAATGTGGCCACGACGCTGTTGTTACGTCCCTTTTCTTTTCAAGAAACGCCCTGGGATTTTTAATGACCACAGAGAGTTAGGACCTCGGTTTTACATCTCATCCTAAGGATGGCGCCTGTTTACAGTATAATGTCCCCGTCACTATACTGGGGCATTAGGACCCACATGGACCACAGGGTGAGTGCCCCCTGCTGGCCTCACTAACACATCTTCCAGCAGCAACCTTAGTTTTTCCCAGGAGGTCTGCCATCCAGGTACTGACCAGGCTTTATAATATATATTTCTCTGTTGTTATTACTCCTGTTTTTATTATTATACACAGATGGGTGAATGGATAGATATACCGTGGTAAAACATAATTATATAGCCCACATGGTGGGCATTAGAAAGGCAGATCAAGTGTATAGAATGTAATTTCTTTCATTTTAAATTTACTATTGAAAGATGAACAGGAAATTCAACTTCATAACAAAAGGGGAAGATTATGCAGTACACATAAAATGAAAATAACAATCCAAAAAGAGTTTACTTTTTCTTATTTGGGCACCTTTACATTTGAATGTTCTGTTTGTATGCAAACATCTTTTACAGCTTGGAGTCTTTCTTTTTGTTTTCTGAAACCAGTTCCCAGCATCTCCCCAAAGATTAGTTTGCCAGTTCTTCAACACATGCACCTCCTGCAGTAAGTCTTGGTTTTCTCTTTGCAATAGCCTTTAGGCCAATCATTCTGCCCTTTGATAGGATTCAAGTCTGGGAATTAAGAAGGCCAACATTACTGTATTTTGGCAGAAATTCTTTTAGCTAACTGGGCAGAGTTCTTAGGGTCTTTAGACTGCTTGAATACAAACTTTCTTCCTTCTAAAAGTTCTGGATTTTTTTGCACCGTTCACTGAACCTTCTACAATACAAGGGCTCTGAGAGCCTAAGGAAGTATGAATGGCCCATGCCATCACAAAACCTCCACCATACCATCTCATAACCTCTACCATTTTTACTTCTAGGCATTAGAACACCTTCACAAGAGCTGAAGATGCAAAAGAGTCGAAAGCCACGAGTCAAAAAGTCAAAGATCAAGAGACAAACTCCACTCAGACCACTGAAACGAGGTCTCTAGACATTCATTTGTTAAGGTACTGTAGCTGCTCACTCGTGAATATCTTGACCATCTTTTCTCTACGTTTGTGTCATATCTCTTGCCAGGGAATTATTTATTTTCCTCATTTTGCAGAAATCTGGTGTTTTCTCTGCACCTGCAATTGGTTACAGCAGTGCTTTTCCCCCACTCTTTGGTGTACAGTAGCTAGAAGAGATCCTTGGATTTCATTTCTAACACTTCTTTAAGTATTGTTTAGTATTACATTTAGTATACATGGTCAAGGGTAAATGGTGCGCTTTCTGCTTCCCTTGGCCTGTGACTGTTGAGAAACAGTCATTAGAGAATACAGCCTGGGCTCGTCCAGGCCTGCAGGAGTGTTGGTGGCTCTGGGGGATTGCAACAGTCTGTTCAGGCAGCAGGTTCCTTGTTGCTTTAAAATTGCAAGATGGCATAGTCAGCCACCTAGCAAGGTACCTAGCATATAGTTACTAGCAAAGGAACAAGTAATAGGTTTAATCCATACTGAAAAAAAGAAGAAAGAGAACACAACGTTTCGGCCGTGGAGCCTTCTTCAGGTGTGCATTGTCCACACCTGAAGAAGGCTCCACGGCTGAAACGTTGTGTTCTCTTTCTTCTTTTTTTCAGCATGGAATAAACCTATTACTTGTTCCTTTGCAGCCTACGCATGCTGACGCAGCTACCCACCTGAACTACTATAGTTACTAGCATATGCATATATAGTTACTAGCACATGCATATTTAGTCATATATATAGTATATAGTATATGTAGTATATATATAGTATATGTAGTATATATATATAGTCATATAGGCATAGTCAGCCACCTAGCAAAGGTACCCACATATAGTTACTACTATATGGTGATATAAATTTGCCACCAGCTAGCCAATACCAGCTAACCTAATGATAGCCACTAGAAAATATACTGTTTCTTTAAAACACCTTTTTTCTGTTGGGTGTTTTTTTTAACATTCTGAACTGGAAGGTACTAGTTGCAAGTAAATAACTACTGAAACTATAAAACTATATTACTAGTACCTAAAATCAGTGTTTGTAAGAAAAGCATTGCTCTGTAAAGTGTTAGTAATACTTAAAATTTTTGCAATACTTAATTTTTTCAAAACCATTGTTTAGAAATGCTATTCATTGTTGAACATATTCATGCTTACGGCTAGTCAACTTATAACGTCAACAATGATCAAAACATAGAAGGATATGAATGTTGTAAATTGAATTAAAACTATGGAGAAATGCAATTATAGATTTAGTTTATATCTTTCATTTATTTATTATTAGGGGTGGTCAGGGATTTAAACAAATAATTGAAATATTGTGGATGCACGTCATATTTCTAGATTTGTGAGGGTTATTTAAAGATCCTGATTTGTTTATTAATGTTATGTATGAATGCTTTTTTTATTTGTTAATGGATTCATTGTTGTGTATTATGTGGTGTGTGTAGTCTTCTCCCTTCCTGCCAGCAAACTAAATTTCCCATCTAGGACAATAAAGGAAGCTAAGTATGGTTGTAGGCTCTCCTGTTGTATTCTGGACATACCCAATGGGAACACGAATGTAAATTGTTTTGGATATAAGAGTCAGACAAATAAATGAGTAATTGGTGTCTATATATGTGTGTCCCAGAATATGGTCTGAGACAAGACAAGTATTTTCTATTTTACACAAATAAATCTCCCTCCTTGCAAAATTATTTTACGCCTTTCCTGCGGAAAAACTACATTTCCCACCATAACTTGCAAAGAACCACCTCAACTAGACATATCGGTGAAGAGCCCGCCTTCACCTTCAAGAGCACATTTGATTGGGTAAAGGTTTTTCCTCATTGGTTCTCTACCAGCAAGGTTGGTTGCTTTCCTGTGTTTGGGTGCAGCAGCTTCAAAGATGGCAGCAGATGCAGGAAAGTACAGAAGTGCAATGAGCAAAAGTAAAGACCCTTCGGGGTTACTCATCTCTGTGATCAGGTAGGGAAGATTTATCTTTATCAAACGCAAGAAATTCGGCGTCTTGTGTCGCTGGAAATAAAAATAAGACTGATCGTCTCTTGCTGGCCTGCAAGCACATCCTCATCCTGGTTCTACATACAGGAGTTGTACATGAAGATTCATGCTGTTTGTACAGTATATACACCTTTGCCAGAAGAGTATTAACGAAGTTCGAACACAGTGTCTTGGACTTAAATATGTATTCCACTGTAATTATGGTGCTGATTTCCTCCTGCTTGAAAGGGCGTACGTCCTTTCCTGATATTTATAGTTCCGTTGTGTCATTTTGTCAACATTCACACGACTGCATTTCAATATGAAAGACAATCCTAAGTCTTACATTTCTATTGGCTGGGTTTTTCATTAGTTTGTTCACTAACTCAGTTGTCTTCCTGTTTTCGTGTTTTGTTTCTACTCTGTCTAAGGAGCGCCTTTCCCTTACATTTCACATCATTTGCTTAACACATATTCAACTGAAATAAACCTCTATAATTGTTAAGAAAGAAATATCAGTTACTTTTATACAATAAAAAGTCAATAAAAGAAGTCCACTAATAAAAAGTAATAGAAGATGTCTTTTCTGTCTCAGTAACAATTCCTAATGATTTGTCACCCTTACTGGGGGAAGTTTTGCAGATTGAAAGAGTTGTGTTTACAGCAATATAAGAATCACAGTTATCTTAGCTGTTTCATAATTCTGCAGCATGGATAGTATCAAATGCCTCTTAGATTTTGTGGTTACCTGTAACTGACAAGTATCAGTTGGATCTTCTGCCTTGTGTCATAAGAAAAGTTAAAGAGAAGGGGAGACTTTGGACCATCTGGCCCATTTGGTAGCTTGAAGCTTATTGAATGAAGAAATTCATCCAGCTGTTTCTTGAAGGAAGACAAGGCTCATCTGCATTCACCATTGTCCCCTGTTGTGACCATATTTATTTGGATGTCTTGTGAACTGTTTCAGAAAACACAAACTCAGGGCAGCTTATTGCCAAAATAGACATAGCATATTGAGGTACCAGAAACAAAAAAGAAGGGGCTCTGGAGAGCAGTGGCTACCTCAGTTAAGATGAGGCCAATGATCAGCTGACAATGTGGTCATCATGACCATAGTGGCCTACTGAAATCTAGCTGTAAGAAACTAGTGGTAATAACTGGTGGTTAAGTAAGAAGAATGTCTTTCTTCACCTGCCACAAGGGAGAGATATATGTACTGCTATTCCAACAATGCCTTAGCTGATAGATTCTGCTTTTCCAACACCTGTGATTAATGTTGCTATCAGGTTCGTTTTCACTGATCTTTTTTTAATGCGACTGTGCCCCTTAAATTCATATTTGTTGTTAGATCTGTCAGTATAACAGCTGACAGTTTGTTTGTTCCATGGTGAAAAGTGTATGTATCATTAAGAAAAAGTAAAATGGCGTTTTTTCAATAATGCTCAGGTTTTCTTAAATGTATTCTTGTTGCTATGTATTTATAAGATGTGTCGAAGAAGGAAAGTTTTTGTTGTCGCCTGTTTTAAGCGTTAGTTTTGATCTGGGGTCAACATCTAAAAACAACAGTGTTCCGGCAGGGATGTAGTACAGAGGTGTGTTCACTGTTTTGTATAAAATGAATTCACTCTATCCAGCATTTAACATCATAGAGTAAGAAACTAATGATATTTATATTGATTTTCTCTTTTGTGCTTTTGATGTCTCCTGTGGAACTTCAGTGAACCCATTTACCTGGTCAAATAAACTGAACTTTAGAATACATTTTCATTGTAGAAAACCAAGAGTGTATTACAAAATAGTCACAATACAAAATAGCTTGTATTTACAAAAATAGCTTGTATTGTAAAACATAAAATAGAGATGCACAATGTGAAATTCATTAGTTCAATGTGAAATTAGTTTTTTTAATTGCATGCTCATTTCATTGAACTTAATTTATTTTTTCATATATTGTGTGGCAGTTCTGTCACTTGTTTTGTTTGTTTGTAACTACAAAGACTGTGAAATGCACTAAAACGTGACTCTAAAAATGAAACAGATTCTGAGATTTGGTGTCTCAGAAGCAACTGGAGCACACAACGCATTCAATATCAGCATTGTTTATTATTATATTAGGTTTTGGTCTTTAAATGCCATGAAATTTACTTTTCCATTAATTAAGTTGCTTTGTTTTCAGGGACTTAGTTATTTTTACTGAGTACATATGCAATTGTTTGTGGTTTAGTGTAAGCTTGGGCTGGAAAATGATTTTGTTTCTTTTTCATTTCCCAAAGCTCTTAATGCTTACCTTTATTGCAATGTTTTGAAGTCAGAACTACTGCAATGCAGGGTGGTGATTTGACACATGTTCTCTTATTGTTAAAGTGTATATGTAATAATATTAAATACAAAAATAAAATAATTTTGAATATGGAATGTGCTCTTAGTGTTCTCCCAGTGTTCATATGGGTTTTACTAACGGGTTTATTGGCTTCTCAGAAAATTGGTCCTGGTGTGAGTGTGTAAGTCTCTGTCTGTGTGTGCCCTGCGATGGACTGGCGTCCTGTCTGTCCAGAGTGGACCGTGGCTTCTGTCCATTGCTTGCTGGGATAGGCTTTGGCTGTCTTGTGACCCTGAATTGGAAAAAGCAGTTGGAAAATGGATGGAGGGATGTGTGCCCATAGGAGAGGTGACTTTGTCACATGTTTTAATGAAGCGATAAAAACTGACATCCTCACGTAAAGGTTGGATTCTGCCTCTTGAAAGCCTTGAAGTAGAAATTGATCTGCAAAGGGGGCATTTTCTGGTTTGTGCCTCATTCTTAATGGGTTGAACTGTTCAAAGTAAGGCATGTACTGTAACATAAGAACTGGAAAGTTTTCTTTAATGAGCTGTAGGTGCGTCCAAGTTTCTGTGTTGCAGTTCAGGAGCATATTTTAATTTTTTTTTTCTTGAAAGGTTTCTCTTTCATTTTGGTGGAGCTTTCTAGCCATTAAGTTGCATCCAAGGGTGATGAAAAACAAATATGAGTGTGCTTGTGTTGGCAGACGTCTGCAGTGTTGTAACAACTTTACAGAGTTGACAGTGAATGTGTAAGATAAGGGTGATTGAAAATGAATGTGAATATGAACATGACAATAAATGATTGACAGCAGTAAATATAGTGCTCTCCTTAATTTATGTGGTCATTATTAATTTATTTTGTTTTCAGACCAATTGCCCATTTTTGCATTCTGTATTGCTCATTACTGCACTGGTGCTTCTCCGATTTGTAAAGCAAATGTTACACTGCTGTTGTCACCGGGCCTGCAGTTGCCCCTGAAAACTGTGTGCATTCTCATAATATTTATAGCCAGCATCCATATCACTCTACAACTAACAACTGGCAGCCCACTGCAGCTAAGCAGGTGTGAGCCTGGTCAGTACCTGGATGGGAGACTTCCTGGGAAAAACTAAGGTTGCTGCTGGAAGAGGTGTTAGGTGGGGCCAGCAGGGGGCGCTCACCCTAGCGATGGGGACACTATACTGTAAAAAGGTGCCGTCTTTCAGATGAGATGTAAAATCAAGGTCCTGACTCTCTGTGGTCATTAAAAATCCCATTTCTCAAAAAGAGTAGGAGTGTTACCCCGGCGTCCTGGCCAAATTTCCCCCTGGCCTTTACCAATAATGACCTCCTAATAATCCCCATCTGTGAACTGGCTTCATCACTCTGCTATCCTCCCCACTGAGAGCTGGTGTGTGGGGAGCGTTCTGGCACACTATGGCTGCAGTCCCATCATCCCCATTACCTTAAAGCACTTTGAGTGGAGTGTCCAGAAAAGCACTATATAAGTGTAAGCAATTATTATTATAAATTATATCTTTAGCTCTTATCTTCAAAGTTCTGTATTTCTTCAGGGAATATGGGCATTTGTGCTCATTTGGCTATCTTTAAAGTTAACTTCAAGCCGCAGAGCTTTTCAAACATGGAGGGCACAGAGATTTGTAATGAGATCTAATGGGAAGCCGGCTATGTAAGCTTATTTTGTGGACACAGTTTTAAACTGTGACTGTTCCCGGCCTTTGCTTTCTGCAGGACACTGTCCAGAAGCGACGATGTTCAGGACCGAGAGACTGAAAAGGGCCGCCTGGAGGAGGCCTATGAGAAATGTGACCGGGATCTGGACGATCAGATTGTACAGCATTATACTGAGCTGACCACTGCCATTCGCACGTACCAGAGCATCACGGAGCGCATCACCAACTCGCGGAACAAAATCAAGCAGGTGGGTGCGGAGGTCTCCAGGTCTTTTCAGGTGTCACTTTTTTACAGTGTTGATGTAGTTTGGCCCTGAACCTTACTTGCCTTGTGTACCTGCAGCGTGACTAAATACTGTACCTGTTTTTGTGAAAGGCACTGTATCTAGATTTGTTCCTGAGCTGTCTATCACTTTGTGACATCTTGACTTTCATCTAAACTCTACAGATTTAGATACACAATACTGTATCTAGTATATGTATCGTTCTTCAAATTGAATAAGCCCATAGGAATGTATTTGATATATGACGGAGACACATTTTTGAACCCATGGCAGTGAGTTACTATTGTAATATAAAACAGATGGGGAAACCTGCAGAGTGTTAGGTTGGCTATTTTTTATATTATCGAGAATGTTCTTGATGAACAAATATCATCCTGTGACCTGTTACAAGCACAATGCTTTGAATTTTTTTCTTTAATTTGTCCCAGAAGTGCCTTGCCGGAATCTCGGGGAGTTTTCTGCGATCCCTTACGTCTGTTTTTGTTGTAAACCATTGCCTTTTGTTTAATTGGCACACAAATTGTGTTTCAAAATGTAATCGATGTCCTTACCCCTGTGCCCCGTTTTTGCAATGGGATACAGAAACTGATGGCAGCTGAAGGAGTTGTTAAATATTTCTGGCCCCTGCAAAAGAGTCATGTTGTGTTTTAGCCCACCATTTTTTTTGGCTTTATTTGATTGCCATTTCTTTAAAGTTTCTGATTTTTACATATACATAAGCCCAGTTTGTTTATTTTATTGAGTCGCAGTACTTACGTATTAAAATGATATGTTAGGGGTGTCCTGAGGGAAGTCCAGGTGGATGCTGCACATTGGTGGTGGTGGAGTGGAGTTCCCATTACCTGTAAAGCGCTTTGAGTGGAGTGTCCAGAAAAGCGCTATATAAGTGTAAGCAATTATTATAATTATTATTAAGTGAAACGATTCAAGTATGAAAGATTGCCATCCATTTTGCCACGTGGAATTTCTTTTTATGTCATGTATAGGTGGTAAAACAAAAGTATGCCTCGTTTAAACCCCATTCAAGGAGCAGCTGCTTCTAACTCTCATCGCCCAGTTTTTCCTAGCCATGTTCCGTACCTGACAAGCAAGGGTTGGGAAGGAAACGTCCAGTGCCCCACGTGCACGTGATTATCACTCCGCTCAAGGCTGCCTTAACAAAATGCGCCATCCTGCTCCAGAATCCCCCCTCAAGGCCGCGCTGTGTGTTCGCAGGTGAAGGAGAACCTGCTGTCCTGCAAGATGCTCCTGCACTGCAAACGGGACGAGCTGCGCAAGCTGTGGATCGAGGGGATGGAGCACAAGCACGTCCTCAATCTGCTGGATGAAATCGAGAACATTAAGCAAGTGCCGCAGAAACTGGAGTCCTGCATGTCCAGCAAGCACTACCTGCACGCCACAGACATGCTGGTATGAGTTTGTCTTGAAGTCTTGTAGCTGTATTGTATCCTGCTGCCTTTTCTGTGGACGATCCCTGACTTTGATAACATAGCTTAGGGACCTTACCCATCCCTAGGTATAAAGAAAGATTCTGGAGGGTCTTCGCTCTACTTTAGCGAATGAATCAAACTTCACACATAAGAGACTAGAGAGAACTTTCACATGATGGCTTCCGCCATTTGTGCTCTTTACTACAACTTCCCTTGAGATTCAATGACCCTGGTCTACCTGATGCTACTCCCTTCCCACAGAGACACCCCATTTTATACAACCAACATTCCTATGAAAGTAATTTAATAAATAATGTAGTAATATAATAAATGTTCTCAGCTGTGCTATACCTGCCTGGTGTGCTGTATTTATTGTCTTTGAGACTCTGTGCATGGTGTGCTCTGTTTGTAGCTTCACATCAGTGCAGTGGTCTCTGCCACAGTGTCAAATATGAAGTTGCTGAAATTAAGGTGCATCTTGTTTCCTTACAAAAAAAGGCTTAGAGGCTTAATGGAGTAGTTTTGTCTTCATTTGATGAAGTCTCCATGTTTTTTTTCCCTCCAGTTTGAAAGCATGTTCCATTACTGTCTTAATTCCAATCCTGGTGTAGACAGCTTCCTTTTCTTGGTGCCAGAAGTGAAGCAGGAACTGTGTTGCAAATCGTATTTTACACCCTTAGTGTGCTTGTTTGCATGACTGCAGGACCTATGTTAGGACACTGACGCAGTGTGAAGTACCCTGACATCGTACTTTAGAGTTTGAGCATTGTATAAGATTTCTCTCTCATAGAAGTTTCCTATTTATCATTAAGTAGTCTACAGCATATATATAAAGTCTCAAATTCAGAAACAATGTTCCAGTGGTTTACTATTGTATTTTATATGTCACTTCTCTTTCCAACAAAGGTGTTTTATGTGGTATATGAGCTATGCTAAGACTCAGTAGTTTGGTTATTACTACATCTCATTTGTGGTTTGGTTACGGTAAAATACCTTCTTGCATGAATACAGTAGGACAGAGTTTGCAAGGCACAGTATTCTCACAACAGGCTATTTCCATCCAGTCAGCAAAAAGTATTGATCATGAATGCAGAGGTAACAGTGTTTCATTGTGGGGTCTCCTTTTTTAAAATAGGAGTTTGATTGTTTTTTAGAGAAAAAAAGTTGATTAGTGTTGCTTGCAGTGTAAAGAAGCTTGGTGTAGCCTTTGAATGGCCAGAAAACCAAGTGAAAATGAAATGACTGTTTTGCTGCGCTTTGTTTGTGTGGTAATGTCCCTGTCTTTCTTTGTTCATCAATAAAAACATTGATTTATAGCATTTCTCCTCACCCTGATTAATGCAGACACATTAAAACACATTCCAACTAACTGGATCACCCCCTTTTAATATTATCTTTGTATTCTGTTCAGATTAATTGAAGTAATTTTGCCAGTGATGCATACTTCAGATTTCTGCATTTAAATTGAAATTATAATTCCCCCATTGTCTTGATGCGATGGCAAAAGATGGCTTGTTACAGGTTTCATTATCACTCACAACACTCCAGCTGCTCTTTCTAATGCATAAAGATTAATTCTGGATAGAATTATTAATGCAACACTGGCAGATGATCTGTTTAGGAATGATGTGAAGTTTCAGTGGAATTAAAGAAGTGGGATGAAAGATTATTCTGATCTGCTGAAGATTATTGGATTTTAAATTTTTAATATCAGGTTTGGTTATAACATCTCGTATTCCTCCCCTGTTGTTACCATAGTGAGATGTTTCCGTACCCATTACTGCCATGTTAGTGTAAACAGCAGTTGTCGTTGTGAACCCTGTGTTGGTTTGAGAAGTTCATCCTGGGGCCCCAGGGCCTTTGAGAATCTTAGGGCTGAAAAGCAGGTTACTTGAATGTAAGGTAAGTACCTCAACAACAAAGGTATCTGTGTGTACGTTATGGATATTTTAGGTATGTAGTATCGTTTTTATGCATAGAAGTCTTGTGCTTTCCATCACCAAATGGAAGAGCGTGAATCAAATTCGACCTTATTGTCATCCTCTTGAGAGGATCCTCTTGAGAGGACAGGACAATTGAGACACGTCTGGTCTGTAGCCACACTCTTGCTTCCCTTGAAATAATATTCCTCTTGCCCCATTGTACTGTGAATATTTAAAGCCAGAAGTAATTGATGGGATTTTGCTCTCTGGTTCTCGGCACTAGGGCTCATTGAGACACAAAGAGACCTAACCTATTTTTTGTTTTGTCGCGCTTCCTAATTTCTTGAAAGGTAACTTCCTTAGTTTGAACTTCCTGTGATATCCTGGCCATGTTGACTATAAGCTGGGGCACAACTGGGAATCGATATATTCTGTAAGGTTCCTTTTGTGTGTTTTACATAACTAGTGCTAGAATGACTTTTGAAAGAAGTTCTCAAGTAAGTGTTATTAACATTGGGCTTGTCTGTTTTAATTTTAAAAACACCAGTTAATTGAGGTATTGAAGAAGAAAAGGCAGTCAGAGGTGTACTTAGAAGGCAGTTTCTAGTAAAATTGCACCCTTTTGTTAGTATATAATGTGTGTGGAGACACGTAAACGATTTGTCTTTTTTAAAGCCCTTTGCCTGGTTTGAATCTCGTCTGTGCCATTAGGTGAGAGCGATGCAGGCCTTCCAAGGAGTGACACCTGTAATTGTCCAAATTGTGTACAGTTTAAAGTGAGCTGCGGTGTGCCCAGCTCAGCACCTGTGTTATCTGAACGCACACTTTCTCTGCTTGACGCATCAGTGCTGCTGTATGTGCTTCAGGTTTGCATTAAGGCACATGTATGTCTTTAGCACTTGTAGTAGTGAGCTTTATTGATGTGCAGCTCTTAAATTGGGGTAGATAATTTAGGAAAAATAATGATTGATTCCTAAATAGAAAAAAGGAACAATAAGTATGATTTGTCTTCTTTTTCTATCCTTTGTTAAATTGTTATTCAGCATTGCTGTTGCTTTCTGTGTGGACACACATTATGGACTAACGTGTACCTGTTGTACTCCTCAGAAAACTGCTACTAAGGTGTTAAGGATTCATTTTCTTAAGCTGTTTGATTTTGTTTAACTTTTAATTGTGAATTTCACCACAGAAGCTTTGTTTGTGATTCACCCCAGTCTTTTTGCTGTATACTAAGATTCGATGCCAGAAGAGAAGATGTTTGCTTGGTGTGTTGATGCTGTTCTGAAAGCTGATATCCCCAGTCATATAAAGGCAAAGGGTATCTGTGAATATCCTGCTTTTTTATCTCTAGACTGATAACGAAGATAAATCGTGTGGGTCAAGTGTTCCTGATGTTTTGCTTGTTCGTTTTCTTTAAGTCCTCTGATACTATACAGAGGACATATACAGAATCCCCTTTAGCTCTGATTTAGTACAGGATTTTCAGAAACTTCATTTTGCCCTTGAGATATTTTTGTTTTAATCGCAGAGTCATTTTGTGTAAATATAGATGTTTTTCTGCTTAAGGCTTATCAGGTTGAATATTAATTATTATATATATGGTGCTGTTTCAATTTCTGTGAGCCTCCTCTGAGGAATTTTTTTTTATTGCTTGCTTGCTCTGCATCATAGAGTTATTTTCTCCTGGTATCGTCACTCCTGTTCTTGATTATTCCCTTATGTTTTTATGTCTTGCTCAGAATAACTGTAATTGCATTGCACAGCTGTCACTTAAAACACATTCTTAAGTGCTGATGTTCATCAGGACGCTGTTTGGAATAGTTGCTAAGAGGGAGTCCGTAATGAAAGGAGAGATTTACTGGGAAACTAACTCTCTACAAAATATAATGACAGAGTGGCCCACTCGAAAACACTTTTTTTTTCCTGATTCCTGTGCTCATCACTCAGTTTTTGTTTCCTTTTTACTGTTTTTAAGAGTTAAATGGTACCCACATGTGGCTGATGCAAGAAAAGACTTCATATTGCTGATTTGTTTGACTGCTGTAGTTTGCTACCATGCTAACCAGGCAATTGTCCCTTATCCTGTTTAGAGTAATACCTTTTCTGTTTTATATGCAGGGAACATTTTCTTCTAACGGTTATTCCAATAAACTTATCTAATTTATTTTATTTTATTAGCTCAGGGGTGATATATCGCATTAGTCTGTTACTGCTAATGCTGCCTCATTTGCATTGACATATACTTGACCTAGGACCTCAGCACTCTCTCTTAATGCACCAACAAGCACTGATCTCTCTCCAGAGCATTATCATTTGGCCATTAGCTTAACTAATAAAAACCATTCATTTAGTTTGATGAAGATTTATTAAATATAAACAAGTAATAGCTGAGGTGGTAATGAAAGTAGAGTGTGTCGTGTTTAATGATAGGAGTTGGGGGAGCGCAGTGGTGTGTGTCTTGTTATTTTATTGCTTAAATGCAGATGAGAAGGGCACTTGTAGAGGTTTCTCATTGTCGGTGTTATGTGAGATGTAAAGGGCATGCAGGGTTGGGTCCTGATACAATCCGAAACGGGGAGACATTGCTCTCGACTTGGCAGTCTCTCCTTTAATTGCTTCACACCTCTGCAGTCTGTCCTGAGGAGATGTGGAATAAACCGGTATCCTTGTGTGACATTGATCTAAATCCATTCTGAATCAGCTGAATAAGATAAGATCACTTTATTGGCCATATACAATTTCTTGTAATAGGAATTTGTCTTTTTTCACATACCCCAACTTGCTCTCCATGAGACACACAGACAGGGAGAGAAGCTTGGGCTCATAGCGCAGGGTCAGCCATTTATACGGGACCCCTGGAGCAGTTGAGGTTAAGGGCCTTGCTCAGGGGCCCGACGGAGTAGGATTCCTCTGCCGGCCGCAGGATTTGAACCGGCAACCTTCCAGCCACAGGCGCAGGTCCTCAGCCACAGAGCCACCGCTTCACTCTGTGAAGTCTGCACCTTTTGAGGAGCAGAAAGCAATTAAACAGTCAAATTAAACATATAGGTGTAGTTTTTTAGTTTTTATTTAAAATTAATTCCCTTACTCGTGTGGTATTGCTTCTCTTTTAAGCATAATAGTTTCCTAGGTGCCTTATATGACTTTTTAAAGCTGATCATTATACAAGACCCTGAATTAAGGCTTTTCTTCTTTTGCTGCTTCAAATCTGGAAATTGACATTACTGTGACATGAGATACAGCGCTGCAGATATCTTACAGCAGCCGTTCCTTGTCCTGGCCCCCCAGTGTCTTCAGGTTTTCAATCTCACTGAGCCCACTGTAACTTAATTGAAAGCTTCATTAACTTAGCAATTTGCTTAATTTGACTGTTTAATTGATTTCTGCTCCTCAAAAGTTGCAGACTTCAAGTTACTTATTTCAGATGGCACATAACTTTCCCTTTCTGAATTTTTAGCATTTAAAAATTTAAAAAAGGCCCTTATTAATGACTAACTCAATTAAGGGTTCATTAAATAATCAAGAGCCCATGGAACGTTAACCATACGTCACTCAGCTCATGAAGACCGTAGTTGTAAACCTGAACTTGCAAGGATGTTATAATTATTGTATTACAGAAAAATGAGCAAAAACTGTGAAAAGAGCAGTTTTCTGGAAGTCATTGCATACAAATGTAAATGCAGAAAATGCAGGTGTGAACAATGTAATAATTTAATTAACCTGTCGGTTTTCCTGAGAACTAACTCAGATGTGATTCCGTTTATTTTTGGCAGGAAATTAATTAACAGAGCTTTTATACCATTGTAATGAAAGCATATAATGTCCAAAGAACCAGGTGTTAATCTATTAATTAAATTAAAATTAATTTATTGTAGGAATAAAGACTAAGCTCCCTTAAAATTGAAATGTAAAAGACTATTGTCCACCTGTCTATAAGTTGTGCGTTTCTTTTCGAGTTCGTGTTCTGAAGGCATTCATGAAGAATGCATACAGTTTGTGACAAGGAATCATAGTTTGTTTCTGTAAATGTTCAGAAATGTTAAGATTTTTCATCTACATAGCAATTCACACCCAGATAAAAGAAAACAAATTGGCTTGTGGCAGACAAGCAAGAAAGAATTCATTTTAACTGTCGTCTTCTGGTTTATGCAGTTAGCTTACTTACACTGTAATATTAACTGTAATTTTGTGGATTTTCTCTGTAATTGAGATATTTTAGTCAATGAAAACAAATATTTGCACACAAATGTGTGAACACTGGCAGATTGAAATTGCTATTAAATTAATAGTTTCATCATGCTATTCTGAAGGTGGTGATAGGAAGTTTAACTTGTGTGTATCCTAGGTCTCAGTAAAATGTACTGACCTATACATAGTGTGGTCATCTACAAAGTTCACCTGTTGATCTTTCCCTTAGTCAAAGAAAGTCATTAGCTGTTTCATTTCTGGTTTATGCACTCACCCATAAAGTGCAGTTCTGTTTTGTTGCAGGGTGACATTAGGAACATATTATCAGCTTTACACAGAAATGTCATTCATGTCATCGGCACCCAGAGGTGCAAAACCCATGAACCGTCTGTGTTCCATGTTGCCTTTTTAAAGGAAGACCAAGACCAAGAATCGCCGAACTGATGACTGTATGTGAAAGTAATCTTGGGGGCCTGAGTGGCTGAGTTTTTTTTCTTCTTAAGGTGTTGTAAAATCCAGCGCCAGAAATCTAAATTTTAGTTTGATTGACAGCTTTTCTTCTGATGGCTGTTTCTCCAGAAACTGTAGTATTATGAAAAATGATTTTTTTATGGCTGAGCAATTTTGGGACCCAGAAGATGATGGAAGTTAAAGCTTTAATACTGTTGCTAATAACTAATTGAATGACTGGTTTCTTCAGGGCATTAAAATGCTATATGCCTGACCCAGGCATGTAAATGACTTTTTTTCTTACATGTACCACTGAATGTTTTGCATGCCATGGACAGACGTCTAGAAGCCTGAGGCTATTTTGTAAGCACAGCTTCTGCATTGTGTGGTATATATTATTTGCACATACTGTAGTTATTGAATTTGCAATCTTATTAGGAGATTAATGATGATGTGATGTCATGCACCCCGTAAATGACATTTATGATATGCACAACAGGAAACATGCTTCAGCATAACTTAACCTTTTAATGAATTTACTAGTATTAGAATTTGTCAGCAGTGAAACACAAGCCAAGTGGACGTTAACGGGTACGTGCAGTAAAATCTGAGTACAGGAGGCACGTTTCAACACTGAGAGTGGTGGGAGTCTGCAGCCTCTTGTGTTACTGATGGGGGGTTCTCTGGTTTCTCTCAAGAAACAGCTGCTAATGATGATCCTGAGTTCACATACTGTAGTTACTAGCAACCAAATCACATAGTTGGGACAAAAACGTATTTCTTCTTAGCAGCTACCTCCACTGTCATTGTTAAGACATTTAGATCATTTTCAAGTTTTGTATTTTACATTCATTTTATATATATTATACTGTATGTCTGGATGTTAGGATGAATCTTGAAATCTGAAAAAATGTATTTGTATTTTATAAATACAATTGCAGATGTTAACATTTTGTCAAAGAGCTATCTTTAAACTTTAGTTTCAGTAGCATTAATTGGTTATATTGCTAGGACACAGAAATGTTTATGATTCAAGGGATGTTTATTCGGTGTTTGTCATCTTTTCTTTTGCTTTCAGAGTTATTCATATTAATAATGTGTTAAGGATGTGGGTGCTGGACCGTGCACTCTAACAGCCAATCAGAATGTAGAGTCTCAAATCCCTGTTAGCTATTTTGGATTAGGAATCGGTGACTTGTAAATATAATCCACTTACAAAAATCCAGATCTCAGTTGTTAATTATCATGTTATATGTGATAATTAAAAATGAAATCCTTTATAAATCAAATCCTTTACAGCGTGTACCTTGTAACATGAGAACTCATGCAGCACTGAGATTTAGATGGTAAATGAAAGAAATTAAGAATGTGTTTGCTAGTTAGCATTATATCGCTATCTAAAACTCATTACCAAGCTTGTACTGGTTGTCAGGCTTTATTATTATTTTTTACTGTTGCGTTCTGGAATATGTAGTGATGAGATTGCTTGGTTAATTAGAAGTAGTCTAATTCTTACAGAGTTTTTACTGAGTTTTTGAATTTTTGCTTGAATATTATTTTATATGTATTTCTTTGTATAGTATATATTTATGTAAGGCTGTCAAAATATCCGTCAACCCATCTATTATTAGGAAACTGCCTATTTCTGGTAAGGACCAATGTTCCTTCTAAGCTGTGCGAGTGTGAGCACACACAGGTTATGAAATCAGCACACACAGGAAATTAAACTGCGCACAAAAAATTAAACCCGGTCGTCAATTGAAAAATGGCTAAATTGACCACACGAGGCTGGCTGCGTGAGGCCCAACTTGGCTGTGTGCATTATAATTGCTACTCGATCATCGACATCTACGCTCTCGTAGTCTCGTACTCACTGCTCATGCTCACTCGGCACTCAGTCTCTATAACCGGGCTCGTTGAATCGCTGTCCCAGTCTTTTGGATCTCTATGCTTCTATGAGAAGGAGTATATTGCCAAAAAAATAATTTCAGGTTTACAATTTACATAGACTCGATTTTGTGCGCACAAGTTTTTGTCCCTGGGGAAAAAAAATTGCTTGCACAATTGTTGCGCACACAGGCCATTAAAAATGAAAGGGAGCATTGGTAAGGACCATAGCAACAAATTCATTAATAATCAAGTAGTCAGTGCCTTGGCTTTAACGTCTCATCCAAAGGACAGCAAGTCCTACAGTAGAGTGTCCCGGTCACCATACTGGGAAATTCTGGTCCAGAAGAAAGAGCACTGCCTGCTGGTCCACCAACACCACTTCACAGCAGCTGCCGGGTTTTCCTTAGGGGTCTCCCTTCCCAGTATGGGTTATGCCCAGCCTTGCTTAGCTTCCAAGATCTGATGAGATTGGGTTGCATGGTGGTAAAACAGTTCTTTGTATCTAACAAGAGTCACTTGCATTATACTGAAGTTTACCTGAATCATCCGCTCATGATTTGGGTAACCTAACTAGTATTGTAAACTTTGGTCATTTTTTAAAGTAGTTACCAGTAGTCTATAGCAAAACAAAGTTATTTCTATTGCGAGGCCCTAATCAAAATGACAGGGTTGTAATATATATTAGCAAAAATGTATGCAGAAGAAGGTGACCAAGGAATTAATATTATATCGCAGAGTTGCTCCCTTCCCTCCTAATTCATTAGACCGTTTGCAAAACTCTTTGAATGGTCACTCAAGACTAGGGTGATACCAATTGATTGGAAATTTGCTAATGAAGGGCTCATACACAAAAAAAAGACATAACTGTAAGTAGTAATAAGTAATTACAGCCCAGTGAGTTTTACTTCTATGGCACCTAAGGCTATGGGAAAGATAATTAGAACTAATCTACAGGATCATCTGTATGGCAGTAGGATTCTAGGGGACAGGCAGCATGGATTTAGAAATATCTTGTTTTACTAAGAGTTGTCTGAACATGCTGCCACAATAGAAAGGCTCTGTTCATGCTCTGCCCTCACTCATCGGCTCAGACCCACTCCTTCGAAAGCAAAGGGCAGGAGACCCTCTCTACTTTCACCAGACATGAATTAATCTAAAGGAAGTCTTTGGACAGTGGGAGGAAACCCCTGCAAAGATGGGGAGAACATACAAACTATACACAGATGGCATCCCAGTGATTGAACCCGGGGCCCTGGGCAGCAGTACTAACCATTGTGCCCCCGTCCTGCCCCACAATTTACAGCCTTAACCTCTAATACTTTTCCAATGTGAGTCTAGTGTCATGTTACATGATAGCACTGGAATATATCTCCCAGTTTAAAGTGCAACAAGGTGTGTGTTTTCCTAGTATAAGCGCCTGACGCTCGGCTGTCTTGCAGTGTTCTTGATCCTTGCCCCTGGCGTGTCATGACAGGTCTCTGCCGTGGAGTCCTTGGAGGGACCTCTCCTGCAGGTGGAAGGCCTCAGCGACCTGCGTCTGGAGCTGCACAGCAAGAAGCTCAACATGCACCTGGTTCTCATCGACGAGCTGCACAGGCACCTGTACATCAAGTCCACCAGCCGGGTGGGCGGCAAGAACAAGGACAAAGACAAGGACAAGGGAAGATCAGGAAGGTAAGGAGCTTGCTCTGCATTAGAATACTACTACTAATGATTGCTTACCCGTGTATAGTGCTATTCTGGACAGTCCACTCAAAGCGCTTTACAGGTAATGGAGACTTCCCTCCAGCATGACCAGTGTGCTGCCCCACCTGCATGATGTGACGGCAGCCATAGTGCAGCAGTACGGTCACAGTGTGAGGAGAACAGAGTAATGAAGCCAATTCATAGATGAGGATGATTAGGAGGCCATGATTGATAAGGGCCAGGGGGAAATTTGGCCAGGATGCCGGGGTCACACCCCCACTCTTTTTGAGAAACACCCTGGGATTTTTAATGACCACAGAGAGTCAGGACCTGGGGTTTACGTCTCATCCAAAGGATGGCGCCTTTTTACAGTATAGTGTCCCCGTCTCTATACTGGGGCATTAGGATCCACACAGACTGCAGGGTGAGCGCCCCCTGCTGGCCCCACTAACACTTCTTCCGGCAGTAAACTTAGTTTTTCCCAGGAGGTCTCCCATCCAGGTACTGATCAGCCTCACACCTGCTGAGCTTCAGTGGGTTGCCACTTGTGAGCTGCAGGATGACATAGCTACTAGTTATGTTTTATTTGATCCAGGACAGAATGGAAAATGCACTCTCTCTGCATTCCACTTCCTGATCTCATTGGGAATTACCCATTACCCAAGACTTTTTGATCCTTACTTCCATTTCAGGTTTGCATTGTTTCCATAGCTTTCAGATTTAAACAAGAAACAGCAATAAAATCCTGTTGAAATAACAGCTGCTGCTTCATTTCTGCTTACAAAATTATTCTCAGTTATTTTAAAGAGAATCTGCTTGAAGAACAGATTCATCTGGCTCACAGATCAAAGTCAAGAAAGTGGTGGTCCAAATGGTGTAATAAATCAAATATAAGGAGAAAAAAAACACTTTACAAAATGATTTAGAAAAAATCAAGTTAATGAAAATAATTAAAAACATACATAACAAGGAAATGAAACTAAGAGAGCAGTATAAATGAATATTGCTATTGGGTCTAAAATAAATGTATTACATATGCATAGTGAATAATGTATTGCAGTATTGCAACAGCACAGGAACAGTAAATGATGAAGCATAGTGTCACAGAGATAATAAAGGAAATGTTTTGGAGGGTGACAGAGAAATGGTCAATACATTAAATGGGTATTTCAACCAGGTGTTGAGTATAAAACAAATTAACATGCCTCAGGCTGAACAATGACAAAGTTCTGTAATTTGGTCTGTAAATAATATCGCGTTAAAGAGATAGAAATGTAAACAGGCATTGGGAACACTTAAAAATAGGATGTTTTTGTACCTGATGGCAATCTACCGCGTGTGCTTAAGAAAACAAGGTGTTATTAATTTAGGTAATTGCCTCTGGATATCTCTTCCACAAGTCATTTCATACAACTTATCACATCTTTCAAGAAAAGCCTGGATATCAACTCTGACAACAAAGCTTTGATGCAGCAACTCCCACAACACTTTGTGTGCAGAAGTGCCTCCGGTATTGGAATAGAGAACTGTTACCAGGGCACACAAATGGAAGCTAAGAGGAAGTGCATTTCAAACTGAAAACAGGAGGAACTTCTTTCCGCAAAGAATTGTGCAGGTCTGGAACCAACTACGTAGCATTGTTGTTGAAGCTGATGCTCTGGGTTCTTACGAGAAACAGCTGAGCTCCTTAGATCATTTAGTTACTAGCAACCAATCAAGCTAGACGGTCCAAATGACCTCTCTCATTTTTAATCTTTCTATGTTCTTATTCTTATCCTTAGATAAGAATTCCATTAACTTTTTTTTCAATAGAAAGAGAGTTAGTTGGAGAGAGAGAGATTTTCTGTGATGATTGTTCCAGATAGCTGTGACTCTATAAACCCATCCAACTAACTATGTAAATGGCATAGGTTCATTCAAATGGAAATAGGCTCGCATGCTATACTGTAGAACTTTAATGCACTTTAGCCTGAACGTTTTTCAGTTGTTAAAATTTTGCTTTGCAGTTCTGTTAAACTTACTCCACTTTCTATGTTATGGATAGCAAGACTATTTCCATTTTAATGTGTCTTCTGATGTGTTTAGCATTGCCATTAATAATGTGCTTGTTGCATAAAAAATAGGGCTAATAACTTCTGTGGTTTGGCATTTTAAATAAGGCATCTGGATTCTATTACCTGCAGTGTTTAAACCCAAATGACATGCAATTAGAGAACTGAAGAATGCTTTACTTTCAGCCATTTAGAAGTGATGACTCGTGCCCTTTACCCCATATTACAGAAGAAAGATACTTCAATCAGGAAAAACAAAGAAATAATGGATGGTTTATTGAGCTTCATATGACAACAAGCTCACAGTTTAGGAAGTATAAGCTTCTAAAGGAATAATGCGTGACCTGCTGTTTTAAAATCAGTCAGATTGTTATTTTTTCACATTTATGTTTATGTAAGTCAGTGACCTACAGTATCTTGTTGATGTATCTTGTTTGTATTATTCTCATAATTATTCTTACAGAATAATAAGTACAGAACTAGTTTTAGATAAATGATGCTTGCTATGTTCAAAAGGTTAGAACAAGGGTTTCTTTTACAAAAAATAAGCACTATATTACTTTGACTAGCTTTCTGTTGTGTTCACTTTGTAGTTTTTTTTTAATTCTTATGACAAAAGTCTTTAAAATAGATAGTGTTGTATTATAAGGTCTATACTTATAATAAATGTAAATGTAAGGATACATAAAACAAACGATGAATAAAAAAATGAAAATGGAGCTAAATACTTCAACCTAGATCCTCCTAATACTGTGCTTAGACATTCTTTGCTTTGTAATAACCTCATTTTTTTAACACAAATGCATTTTATACCATCTCTAATTTTAGCTGTCTCCATCTTTAAATTAAACCGCCTGTGCTGTCCAAACTCTAAGTCAAAGACCTACTGTAATTGAAGCTCTTGGTCCCTTCTTTTCTGTCTACCTAATCTTAGCTCAATTCTAACCGTATCTGGATGGGAGACCCCCTGGGAAAAATGATGCTGGCTGCTGGGAGGGGTTTTAGTGGGACCAGTAAGGGGCGCTCACCCTGCAGTCTGTGTGGGTCCTAACACTTCAGTATAGTGATGGGGACACTGTAGTGTAAAAAAGGTGCCATCCTTTGGATGAGACGTAAAACTGAAGACCTGACTCTCAAAATCGTTAAAAATCCCAGGGAGTTTCTTGAAAAGAGTAAAGGTGTTACCCCAGTGTCCTGGCCCAATTTCCCATTGGCCATTTCAATCATGGCAACTTAATAATTCCCATCTATGAATTGGCTTCATCACTCTGTTTTCGCACTAATAGCTATGTGAGGTGAGTGGACTGGTGCACTTTGGCTGCTGTTGCATCACTGAGGTGGCGGCTTCACATTGGTGGTGATGGAGGGGAGTCCTCATAACCTGAAAAGCACTGTGAGTGGAGTGTCCAGAAAGAAATGCCATATAAGCCTAAGGAATTATTATTAGTATTAACCCTTGCCTTGGTATTAATTTTAACTTTAGATTTTGCACAGATCTTTTCTCAGACTGTGTTTTAATTTGGTTTGGCCTTTGATTTTCCTTGGAAAGGCTGTGTGAAATCAAGCTTTGTCCCTTTCACTAGGGTTTATAACCTGTTCTTTGTTTCTACAGGCTACAAAAAGCAAAACCCTGATTGCTGCTCTAAACCAAGAAATAATCCCCTTCAGTCATGTTGACCAAACTCTACACATCTTCACCCCTTAATCCAGGATTATCAGTTTGTAGTCTAGCTACTGTTTTTTCTTTAAAGAGCTATTCTTTACAGAGTGAAAGTTTAGTTATATTCCCCCTGTAAAATTATATATCTGTACCAGTTAATGTGTTTGAGAATGCCTTGGTTTAAAGTAGATCTTTTAACCTCTGTGCAAGGAATACACCCCTTTTCCCACAGGCTGTCTTACTCTTTTAAATATTAGTGTGCAATCAAAGGTACTGTACATGAATTTATATGCTTCTCCTGTTAGTAAAGTCTTAGGCATGTGTTCACATCGAGGTCATTCATAAGTTGACCTTGCCACAGGTAGTGACTGATAGTTTGTATGCTTGCTGGGTGTTTAAAGTCATATTTATTTTTAAACTGGTATTCGTCTGTAGAGATCAGCTTTCCACTGGGCCACTTTCTGAGCTCTCTTTGCCCTTTCTCCAACAAACATGTACAGGTCATTGCATAATGCAGGGTGGGACTGAGGCAGAACTGATCACAGAAGGAGCAGTTTTGCAAAGCTTTATCCAGGGTGCAGTAGCTGTAGAGATAAAGGTCTCTGTAGTTGTGGCTGTTATAGACGAGTGACTGAAGTGTTTTTATTGATGTTTTAAGCCAATTTATGTTTCCTTTATGCATTTTCTCAACTGGACTCTTCATAGAGCAAGTATCTTAGCTGTAGATACCAGATGTATTTTATATGTTTTAATTTGTTTTTTGGATGAGTATCTAAAATGATTTCCTGCTACAGTAAAGATGAATATTTTTTTAAGCTGCGTACATTGTGTTTCTTAAACTTTTATTATTTATTGTACAATAACTCATCCTAAGCAGGTCATAGTAAAGATTCATAGGTAAATTGACTGAATTCGGGCAGGGGATGCCAAAATGACTTTTCACAAATTATTGAAGGCAGCGATGTCTATTTACAGCTTCTATTGAGTGCAGTTCTGTTGTTCCCTGTCATTTATTGGATTAACGTCTTGTGGTTTGTCATATCCATAATTAATTATGGATTTCAATCGTTTTGATTGCTTCAGAATTCACATTTAGTTATATAAGATGTTTTACCATGACAGAGCTTGTAAAGGACCTGATAAAGCTTAAAAATGAGAGGGGGCCACTCAGTCTGTTTAGCTCATTTGGTTTGTAGGTGCATTTGGTTTTTTTGTATGGATCGACACACTTTACTTTCATAATGCCATGTTATACTATTCAGCAAAACAAAGCAATAGTAAAAACATAAACACATGATACACATGAATAAACGTTAACGCAATAAAAGATCATTCAAACATGGAGTGTAAAAAATAAGCTTTAAGACAGGATTTAAAAATGCTGGCTAACATGACATCAGGACAGACATCAACTGGTTCAAGCACTGTTGTGACGATGGAAAAAGACAACTTCACAGCATTGTGAACGTGTACGTCAAATGCAGGATTTCTTCGTAGACTGATTCCAGCACCATCAATAGTCAGCTAGACCTGACACAGTTGTAGAGTTGATAAGGAGCACCACTCACCATAGCTTTGGTCTTGTCAGGGTTCACATGTAAAACATTTTGTTGCATCCATTTTTCAGCATCATCTAAGCAGTGTGACAAGGCAGATAGTGCTTGATTAATGCAATGCTGTGTAGAAACATAAATTTAAACCTAATACCATGTATGCAGACCTATTGCATCCAATACTCAGTTTTATTGTGATGCAATTTCTTTACATTTGTTTTCATTGTTGAAGTACATTGGTTTTTGAAGTATGCATCAATCAAATTATTTTCTTTCCTTTTGGATAAACATCTTTAATTGATTTACTAGAAAATTTCAACAGCTCGTACCTTTTCTTTCATTCAGAAGAAAATAGCCATTCCCCCTTCCTTTAAATCAGTGTCACAATATTTAAGTTACGTGCATACACCCAGGGTTTATTTTTAAGGAAATCTACTTTTCCATCTAACGTATCGTGTGGTGTTCTGGAATGAAATGCTGGTTGTTCTGATATATTCGCTGTAAGAGTATAATGTCATTGGTAACATCATCTCTGTCTGAAATAACCCCCAAATACTCCAATTCTCATAAACTAATATCTTTTGGATTAAGAAGAATTGTATGGTCCTAATCCTTTTTATTTTTGTTTCAAATAAAGTTCGTCTGCAAAGGAAACCTCTCCAGTCCCCTTGATTGAAGTCAGCAACTTGTCTACTCCACGGAAGTTCATGGAGCCCTCTCAGTACGCCACTCCTGGGAGTTCTAGTAGTAAGTAATCGGCATCTCCAAATGAGCTGTTTCTTCTTTGACTTGGGGAGTACGAGGCAAAAATGTCAGTGCAGTGTCAGAAGACCCACGATGTAGACAATCTGTTTTCTTCCCAACCTCGTGTGCTTCACATTTGGATAGTCTGTAACTGGAAGGTTATTTTTTCTTCATACCTTAGGTTTGGCCTTGTATATAATTCAATCTTGCACATGATTAAATAGATAATATACCCATCTAAAGAGAGCAACTTGTAACTGATTGCTCAAATTGGGGTGCACAATAGGTTCTTGACTTATCTCAGGAACCCACCCATTTCTGACCATACCTGTGGTAGAAATACATTTAATGCATTTTGTTTTCAAATGAACAGTGAAAATAAATATTTTGAGTCATTTTTATAATGGGCACCTCTTTTGTATTCTGATGGGAGCTGTAGTAATGAAATCATGAGTGTAGGTTTTGCAGAAATCATTACTGGCATTAACATGTTATTAAGATCAGTGTGAGGTCACAACATAACTGGTGCCTAATGCCGTGTTTTGCCTTTCAGTGCAGATAATGGTGTTAAAAATGCAAATAGGAATATATATACACTGTAGATTTTATTAGAATCTGTTCTCCTGCTCCTTCTTTTCTCTTGCTGACAGCAGACGTAATGGCAAGTCTTTAAATATAATTGCAGGCCAACCCAAACTGCCATCAATTCAAAGGAAGTATCACCAGTCTGCTGAAATGAAATCTGCAAATGTACCACACTTTAGATTTTGCCAAAGTGTAGCAAAATTTCATAACAAACCAGCCCCACTGAATATTTAAGAAATAAATAAGATATTTTTTTCTTAAAGTGTTACATAAAAATCATCACTTAGGATGACCTGTCACCTTCTGATCCCCATTTTGAAATCCTCTCAGATTTTCCCTTTAAGTGGTTAGATTCCCCCTAATTTTCTTTTTATGAGGAATTTACTAAAACAGGTGAAAACTGCTTTCATTTACACTGAGTGCTAAAGTAATTACCTTGCTAATAGCTGTTTTGCCACCATTAGCTAAAAAATGGCAATTAGTATTTGCTTGGTCTAAATGTATTGCAATAACAATACATTTTTTTATTGGCAAGCTTCCTTCTTTGTAAATGCAGATAGGTTTAATGGCCTGCACATGCCTAATTTGTTGTTGTTGGTAATTGTAGTAATTATTTTGCAAACTACAGTTGAAATACTAAAGTCCATTAACTTATTATAAACATTAGCTCTTCTATGGTTTTGCTGTCTCAGGAAATTAAAATCCAGATCAAATACAGAATTTAATAAAATTATGAATAATGTTGTTCCAGGGGAATATGAAATTAGCCCTTTTTTGTCCATCACTCAGGATGAAATACATGATGAACGCGGAGATAGCATCATTTATAAACTGAAAATAAAACAGTGAAACGCTGACTGCAAACCATTTAACCTCCAGGCTAAACTGTCATGTTAATTAGCCACCTTTTGTATCCTGTTATTGCAGTTTTCTGAATCGTTTTGAAAAACGGTCATTGTTTCAGTCTGCTAGGCTCTGACAGAAAATGCAGGTGGGGAAGTTGAAATATTCCCATTCTGTCCGATTAATTCAGTGTAGTGTTGATTGTACTGACCATTGTCCATATAATAAGGGCAGGGCCTCAGTAGCAGGATGGGTGACCTCCCAGGAAACCTAGGTTGCTGTGGTAACAGGTGGGACTCTTCCTGCTGGACCAGAATGGAAGACGTTCTCATATATGCCCTGTGAGACTTTAATTTCAGTGATAACATCATCTGTGTCTGAAAGAACCCCCAAATACTCATATTCTTAGAACCTGATATATTTTGTATTTAGAAGAATCTTGTGACTCAGGACATCCAAAGTAAAGCCCCACTCTGATGACCATGGAAACTGTGCTAACTGTAGGGGCAATCCCTCAGGGGAAACATTGGATTGAGGTCCCGATTTGGTCATTTGAGATGGATTGGCGCTTTTCAGATGAGTTATCCACAGTATCCTGACTGAATGGCACTGTGGGCTTGCACAATCTGGCCTACCTAAAGCTCCCCCTGATTTGAATTGGTCAAGCAGTTTTTCACTTCCCCTCCTGATGGGTTGTGTTGTGAAGCTGTTGGCCCGTAATGGCTACCACACCTCACCCAGCTGGGTGCCGCACTTCAGACATGGATGAAGTGGGACCTCTCCTATGTGTGAAACACTTTGAGGTGAAAAGCTGTATATACAGTAGAATATAAGGAATGATCAGGAGCACTGTATTGCCGATTAGAATTTAAACTTTGAGGCTTAACATCACTATGGTCTTTACTGTCAGAGAAGTTTCTGTGGATGAGATGGTGGAACTGCCTGTTTTTGTAGTTCGAGAGCTAAATCTCCAGGAGGTGAAGGAGGACCTGGATGTGGACCCAGAGGAGAACAGTGGCGTGTTCATGGGAGTCCTCATCAAGGGTCTGGCCAAGCTGAAGAAGATTCCTGAGACCATAAAGGCGATCACAGACCGCCTGGAGCCAGAGCTGAAGCAGATTGTCAAGAGGTCCACCACTCAGATAGGAGACCATGCCTACCAGAGAGGAGAGAGTCTCTCACAGGAGAATCAGCCCAGGTCAGTCTCGGGAAAATGCAAAAGCTCGATGGCTTCCGTCAAAGCTGTAAAATAGTAGCAAAAGCTGTTATGCTACTATTGCTGTCTAAACCCCGGCTCTGTTACAGTATTATAAATATATATGTGTTTTTATCCAAACATACTCCACCTCACTAACTTGACTCAGTCCCCCAAAATAAACCAAACTTCCTCCCCAAAAAAGTCTTCCGCAAACTATCTTACTACTATCACACTGCCCAATTTATGTGAAATAAAAATAACAAATTCAATACAAAAGATAGAAGGAGAAAATCAAACAAAAAAGGCTCTGTGAACATGTCAAGAAAACATCAGAGTTTAGTCCCTTCATGAGCAGTCAAACCACAGGACAAAAACCTGTGTGAGCGAGTGTGAGGCTACTTCAGGATGGTTTGACAGATCTTATGTAAGATCGCTTTATTGGCTATATACAATTTCTTGTATTAGGAATTTGTCTTTTTTACATACTCCATGAGACACACATAAAAACAGATAGGGAGAGAAGCTTGGGGTTAGAGCGCAGGGTCAGCCATTTATAAGGCGTCCCTGGAGCAGTTGGGGTTAAGGGCCTTTCTCAAGGGCCAAGCGGAGTAGGATTCCCGATGCGAACCAGCAACCTTCCAGCCACAGGCGCAGATCCTTAGCCACAGAGCCACCGCTCCGCCCAGGGAAATGTAGGGAAATGCCAGATCCTCCCATTCAGAGACAACATCAAGACCATGCCTCTTCTCACTCAGGTGAGAACATTTAAAGAAAAATCAGAGAAAACGATAAGCAAAACAGGTTCATAACAGCTATCTTCTAAGAAAAGGATACATTTGTGAAGCCTTTCTTTCATCAAAATGAATTGAGCATTTTTTAGGAATTGGATCTTATGTGATCGTGCCTTACTTTGTGAAATGAGCATTTATGTACACAGCTTGGCTTCAAATTCCACTTAAATGAGATGCATTTTAAAACATCTTATAAATGATCATTTTAACACATATCATCCATTTAGGTTTTTAAGTAAAACAAAATATTTAAATAAAGAATGATAGTCACATCACATACAGAGTGTAGTTACTAGTAGGACAAAAGCAAGACAATTATTTTCTATTTTTGTGCATTGCATTTATAATCCCCCCTGTATTGAGTATGTTACAATCTCTCAGTGGCAATGAATATATAAATTCACAAAGTGAGTATTAAAATTCATACTCTTCAGCATTTTATGTGAGGCTTGAATGCTGAGAAAACAAATGAATACAAAACTAGAACACAAAAATAATGGTGATCTGCAGATATAGATTATTTGGGTGTCCAGCTGTTCCTTTGTAGTATCTTTGGACTTCAAGGAAAAAATCAGACTGCTGTTCCCCATGATCCACATTTAGCATTGAGTAGACTAGGCTTTTTTAAAGAATGAGCTGTGAAGGCAGGAGAAAGGCTGTCTTTCTGCACTTCAGTTTGCTCTTGGTATATATGGCTACAAGTTGGCTCAGTGTGAAATAGCTCCAGATAAAGGTGGGTTTAATGAAAGTGCATTTGCTTGCTCATCTGAAGGTGGGAGACTGTTGCTACGGAAACCACTGCAGAAACAGTAATCCAGTCTGGCATCATACTCATAAAAAAGTATGGCATATGAAGTATGCAAAATTGAGGTGCAAGACACTAGTTATCTGTGGTTACATGAAAGCTCTCTGACACTTGAAACACAAATTCAGGACTCTCTAGGTTTCAGCTCTTATGTCATCAGATCATTTGTATAAAAAGCACCTGACAAAGTTTAAAAGTGAAATATGTTTTGAGTCTCATGATGCATTCAAGTCCGACATCTCTGCATGAGTGTTACAGTATGTTGTATGCATGCATATCGCATGGCAGAGACTGGTAGATACCTTTTCATTTAATCCTAAATGCGATTTTATGTGCCGGTGATTGATATCGATGAATGGGTCTACCAACATATCCTACAGGTACTTAATTGGGTCAAGATCTGCTACTATAGCAGGCTGAACATTTGGAGTGACCTTTAGCATGAGGGAATGAGCTTTTTTGTGTTGGGAGATTAAAGTATTATGTTGATGTTAGTGTTTATGCAACTATTATGCCATACAGCTTTCAAGATATTGACCTCCTGTGTAATAACAGGATGTTTTCTGAAGTTGGCATTAATGGCCTCACTTGTCATTGCACTGTCGCCACCTAAACCTCATTCCTGCACCTCAGCATACTTTGTTTTCTCTCTGTGCAGTATTTTACCAATATCAATGGGGTTTTCCTCAGTGTTGATGCGTATCAGATGCATTTTCCCTGTTTCACTGATCTCTGCCAGTGCCATAACATAAAACGTGTTTGTTTTATGTTATGGTAGAGAGCTGGCTCATCATGTGAGCTGGAAAGAAATGAGTGGAGTAGCTTCCATTCTGAAAAGTAAAACAAAAGAAGATAGAAACAGCATTTAGCATGTGGAGTCATCCTCGCGTGTTCAGGAGACCACATTTGAAAGGGGCTCAACTGCAGAAACATTAGTATTCCTTTTCCATTTATCAGTGTGTAATGAGCCCTTTCTGTTTCATGTGTGCACGTCACATTGGCATTTAGAAATTCTTAAGAACACATTACCTGCCATGCATATGGTGTCACATTTTATTTTCATTTCATTCTTAGCAGTGAGGATGTGTAAATATACAGTGGCTTTTGACATTGTTTAAAGTAATATCATATTTTCTCATAACGCAATACAAATTGATAGGTTGGCATTTTATATTTAATCGACAATGTGATTTAAAGGTCTTATTTCCTATATTTCTTTCAGATATTTTTGACTATGTGTTTAATTTGTCAATGGCATTCTCTTTTCTGTTTTGGTGTAAAAGTAGTGGTTATCTAAAACACTTTTACTCTGGCCATTACCCTGTAACATCTTTGGTTTAAAAGATATTTGACAAATAAGTAGACTTTAAGCATTGATTTTATGAAGTTTCAAAGGATTATTCCTGCTTCATTTGCAGTTTAGCCTTTGGCAGTAAAAGAGGCATGGGGGAAACTTCAGTTATGTATGCTACCGAGATTCACCTGCTGTGCCAGGGAATTCATAAGTTCTGATTTATTGAAGATCAGCAGTTTATGCCCATTTTGGATCAGAGCAGCACAATCCTGCAGCATGTCCTAACCGTTGTGCCTGAAATAATTCAGAACTTGACATGTTAAAATGCTGATGTTATTCAGTCTTTGCTTCTTTGTTGCAGACTTCCCTTTTTGCTGTGGAGTACTGCCACCACCCCAAAGATTACACTTAATGAAATGTTTTCCTTGTTTTTAACTTTCTGTTCCATGGTTGTTTTAAAGGTAATGGAGGCTAATGGCTTTGCAGCAGCAGTTATGTGGTGTATAATAAAATCTGTAAAATTAGAGCAGCAATTATGTTGCTTTTAGGGCAAAATGTGTCTTCTTTGAGAATAAGCTTTTACAGATTTCTTGATGCCTTTATCTATAGTATCACAGTTTCTAATTGGAATTTGTATGTGTCAGCATCCATTAACACTGAGGCAAGTAGTGAGTTTCTGCAGGGTCCTTTTTTAGTGTCTTACTGCTGGAAACTTTTTTTTTTAATTAGATAAACACATTTTCTATAACTGTGCCTTTGAGTTAAGCTTTATATAGCTTGCACTCTATTATGATTAAGGTGGCATGGTGGTGCAGTGCTTATCATTACTGCTTTGAATCACTGGCAGTCTGGATTTCAGTTCCAGATCTGGGGTGTTATCGTTTTCTGCGTGGACTTTGTCTAGTCTCCCTGTGTTTACTCCAGGTGCTCCAGTTTCCTCCCACAATCCAAAAACATACTGGTGACTATGTGTCTGCCTTGTGAAAAACTGGAGTCCTGTCCGGGGTGTATCCTGGCTTGTGCCCATTGCTTGCTCAGATAGGCTCTGGTTCCCCTGTGACCCCGAATTGGAAGAAGCAGTCGGAAAATGGGTGAACAGACTACTGTAATTGTACCTTTATAGAGGTGTTGTAATATGCTGTAACAACATTCATGCTACTTTATAATTGTTGTTCCGAAAGATACACAAGTAACATTTGTCATGCATGTCATAAAACGGTTCAGTAGTTCAGGTGGGGAGCTGCATCAGCATGCATAGGCTTTAAAGGAACAAGTAATAGGTTTATTCCATGCTGAAAAAAAAGGAAGGAAACCGTGGAGCCTTCTTCAGGTGCGTGAAATGTTTCAGGTCTAGTATATTAAAAATTAATGCGAACGTTGGGATTGGAGTTAGAGATAACGTTAGGGTTAACTTTAGGATTCAGGTTAAGAAAAGTTTTGTGCATGTTATATCTTTTAGAAGTGGGTCATAAAGGGATGGTCATGTTGCTTTCACGCCTTATGTAACCTCTAAGAAGGAATTATGCAACTTATATAAAGCCTAATTTCTAATACATTTTCCAGAATATGATACAAATACGGTCCAGCAGCAGGATTTGAAACCTGATTTTTTAGGGGTCTCCAATTACAGTAATTACAGACAGGCCCAACTTTGCTTAGCTTCTGAGATCTGATGAGGTCTGCCTACATGGTGGTAACTCTGCTCTCATAGCAGCTAATAAGCTACCAATAAAAGCGAATAATAATAGCCCTAGCAAATACAGGGCTCGGTCTGTAAACCCCCAGTAGAATTATGTCAATTACAATTTCATAGCATGAAACCCTTGTTTAATCCAATGTCTTTTCTTAAATTACCAGATGGGTTTATATTAATCTATCGGTGTTTTCTGAGACACGACCTATGAAATAGAAAAAAAACAAACTGAAACTCAGTTTTGGTAATGAGTGAATAAAGATTTTTGTCAGCCCTGTTCTATACAATTGTCAGAAACTTTGAGAGCTTTGTCAACGCCATTCAGGTTACTGTAAACTCATAATGCGTGATCACAAGAGAGTCACAGTGATATCCTCTGAAAGAGTAGTTGATGTTCATCAGCCTGGAGGGGGATACATAACCAGTTCTAAACATTTGGGGCTTCAGCCATCTACTGTCAGACAGATAGTCTGCAAATTGAAAATATTTAAGACTGCAGTTACTCTACTCAGTGCTAGTTTTCCTGCCAAGATCTCTCGAAGAGCAGCCCCAAGTTGGGAAGTTACGAAGAATAGTCCCAAGTTGGGAAGTTACGAAGAATAACATCTAAGGATTTGTAGGCCTCTTTCCCTGGGAGAATTACCAGGAAAATCCACTTGGGGTAATATGCACCAGTATACTCAGCCTGAAAGAGCTACGCTTAGTTGATTAACTAAGCGTATCTTCTGACCTGAAAGAGTCCATTTGAGATGCGTTTATAAATAATTGAGCTTCTCAAATTCTTAACAAACAGACAATTGATTTATGATTTGTACACACAAGAAATTGTTCTGCATATCATCAGCATCTTTAAATCCAGTGACTGATAAGGGGTGTAACAGCTAAATTAAGTTTTCCCTACATCAAATGTCATAAAATAATATTGAACTTTACACCCACACTGATGGATGTGGTGAAACCCAAATTGCTGCTTTATTTTCGCAGCAGTGGCGTGAGGTGCAGCCAGTAAGAGTGTCTTTTGATTGGAAGGGAAATACACATTAATTTACTGCTACGTTCCATTAACTTTAACACAAGTAACAGAACAGCATCACATTTTCATGAAATATATTTGCAAAAGAACCTGAACCCTGATTGTCATGACACTATCGTTCCCACAAAAATCATCTGGAGAGCTTATTTGACGCGCAGGTGTCTATATTCTGTGTATGCGCTTTATACCTTAAGAAGATACACTATGTCACAACCCAGAGGCTTCCAATATGTAGATGGAAAACTATTTTGGAATACTATTTATTTAATTACATTCATTTCATTTCCTGAAACGTGTGTGTGTGGTTGAGACGGTCTTGCATGGTGCAGTACTTGTAAAAATATAATGTGATATATTATCTTGACTTTTTACAGACCAGTTTTACCCAGATTGACAAAATAGCTACAGTAACAAAAAAAAGACAAATGTCTTGCCTCTATGTGAGAGCTTTTCTCATGACATTAGGAGCATTTTTTCACCTCAGCTAATTTTATCATGTTATAGGTTTTTCAGTTGCATCAGGGCTCCCACTGGAATTCATTAAAAGGCTGTGGTTTGAACCCAGGGTACTGCAGTGCTTTTCTTGTTATTGAGCTTTTTAAATCCAATATGCATCATTAATGTAGTTGACAGGACAGGTATTTAAGATTGTTGTTCCTGGGACTGAAGTTTGTGTTACTCCTGGTCGTACCCCCCCACAGCTTGTCCATCTCACCTTAATAAAAATCATCCAGATGTCACTTTTAAGGACTTTTATTGCCAGAACTGTTGTTAAGTAATTGTATTTAATTTCTTTTTGTACATATATACATTTTATAGCCACTTTATCCAGTACAGGCTCACAAGGGAGTCAGCGCTTACCTTGGCAAGCCAGGGATGCCAGTTCATCAACAACAATTCAACAATTCAACTTTATTGTCATTAAACTTACACAGGTGCATAGTATAATGAAAAGTGTTTCTCATTAGTCACTCAGGTGCAGTATATAAATAGGACAGAAGATAAGACAATAGACAGTAACACAATAGCAATAACAAGGAAACCGGAGACACCTGACAAAATATCACGCAAACACGGGGAAAGCCTCCGAATTCCTCACAGAGGGCACCCCAGGTCTGGAATTGAACCCAGGGCCCCGGCGCTGCGAGGCAGCAGTGCTAACCATTGTGCCACTGTGGCACGCCCTTTTTTTTGTTCAGTATATTCAAATTAATCAAAATAGGTAAAGCATCTAAAAGTTTTATCTGCCAATGCAATGGCATCCCATCCAAGGGGAAACGGCAGCCCTGGAATCTTAGTTCCACCTTGTGCTTTATGCCTCTGGGGATAGCCGGCAGCCTGCTTGCCAGGATAAGTGGCTTACTGTGGATGGATGGATGGAAATGTTTATCTTATGAAACAGCAGTTTCCCAAATCATCTTCAGAAGTTTTAACAGTTTGCGCACTTATTCTCTGTGAATGGCCTGTATGGCGAAATGAGAAAAGTGATTTATGTTTTGGCATTTCACAGGGCGTTTTTTTTTTTTTGACTCCTACATTTCCAAGCACAGCAGACTGGCATCAATCTGTGGAGAGCAGGAGTAGGTGACCCTGACTCTGGAGGGCCATGGTTTTTAGAAAAATCTAAGGACAGTGTCATTTGTCCAATTGACTAATTGTTCCAGTGAATAATTAAGAATTAGGGTGGTTACTTAATGCCGTACGTTGTAACAGCACTATGTCCGTATCCGGGAAAGAAATAATGGAGATACTGTTATACTAAGCTGTCTTACCTCCTTTTAAAAATCAATTTGAAAATTGCTCAGGCATTGGGGAGGAGCTGTCACAGAGACATGAAAGGATCATAGCACAGTTCATTGTACAGACGAGAAAGGTTTAGGTCGACTTTCAAAAATCACATTTGTCGACTGTATTTCTAGAAAGCAAAAATATGAGCCCCCTTTATCATGTTTTGTCAACCATTTTATGTTCTAACAGTTATTTTAAATGGCGTATATGATAAAACTTCTGTTTGTAGACATTTAAAATTCACATGAAAGCAAAACATTTGGAAAAAACGGAACGTGTTTTAACAGAAAACCAAGATATTAGCTCTCAGCTGATTTAGTTTTCCTTTTTTTGTGTGGATTGCTATCTTTGTATCTTAGGCTTACACAGTTAGTTTCAAAGTTAGGCTGGACTGAACTTTAGCTGAAGGTTTTGTTGCATATAGGTTGTTGTTAAAGAAAGTGACAAAAAATCCACTCTTTGTGAACACAACTCATAAGTGTAGGATAATTTATTCTAATCTCCAAATTAAAATGCATCATAGTGCATTTCTAAGCAATTTTATTTCCATTCATCAGATTTATATCTTCTTACAGAAGGAATATACTGTATAAGACATTTTCTAATATTTTGTGTGATCTTAAACTTGAAAAGTTTGAAAAGTGCAAAAACTGCAAAGTAACATTTTAGTAGGCTGACAGTTCTTGACAGGTGTTTGTGTAGTTCTTATTCTTCAGCTTTGTGCAATTGTAAGTGTGTAAGTGTATTCTCTTCTTTGGGCCGTTTGAAGGTTGCTTCTGGAGCTGCTGGAGCTGCTGTTTGACAAGTTCAATGCTGTGGCTGCTGCTCACAGCATCGTCCTGGGGCACCTGCAGCAGATCGTCAGATCCCCTAATGGTGCCCAAGAGGGACTCGTCAAGCTGTATGACATGGCCGATGTGTTTGCCAAGATACAAACAGTTCTCCAGGTGAGCAAATGTTGAGGTAATCTGTTCTTTTCCAAAATACAATTACCCATTATAAGCTTGTTTAACTGGGTATTTTAGAAGAGGGAAGATAATCCTTAAGTGTTACACTTGGGTGTCAGCAGTGCCATGGACTTTGTGGGCTCAGTGTAAGTATAAATAAGAATGAAGTGGACAGTGATGCAGTGGTTTAGTTTGCAACAGTTTGACCACTGGAGAACAGACCGGAATTGGAATAGTAAAAGAAGTCCTGGTTCTGGTGAGTCGAGTTAACCCACAATTATTTTAGTCCACATCTGAAAATCACCCTCTTAGGAGCTCTTAATTCACCATTCACGGCACTCTTATGATGGGCTGGGCATGGATATGCAGACTTAATATGTTGTGCCTCATGTTCTGTAATGGGATTTTACCTCCAAGACAGAGCTAAATCCTGTTATGTTAGCTCCAGTAGAAGCTCATTAGGCTGAACCCTACACTACAGTTATATGACAGATAAATAGGGCTTAATATTTCATGTTCCTCTTCTGAGGTGCAGTAATACACTCAAAGAATGAGAGAAGACAACGTTTTAATGCAAGAACTGAACAACGGTTGCATATCAACCTCATTCAAAGGTAAAACAGTTTACATTGATGCACTCTGACAAAAGGCCTGCTAGATGTGTGGCCACCAGTAACAACCAGTCTGCTCAGTTTTTTAGCTCCTTTTAAAAATGTCAGTTTTCTTTCCATTCTAATTCCTGCCTGAAGCCCACTGTAGGAGTAACATGTTGGTGAATTGTGTGTTTTTCATAGTTTTCTGTGGCAGGTGCTACAAACCTTCACATTTAGCTGCTTAAGTGTTATTTTTAATTAATCTAAATCTTAATGCTTTCTTATTTATTTTCTGTTTAATCCATCTTTGTGAAGCAAGGGAATATTGATATTTTCCAGTCTGCTTGAATGGTTTTCCTCCTGAGAAATCCCGTTCAGCTCTGCCATTACTCATTCTTGTATTGCGAACGTACATAATGTTTAGCATAAAGCTCTGCAGCTTCTTGTTTCCTTCACTGTCCTTGATACGTACTTTCATTTTGTTTTCTATGGAATGAAGAGTTTCATATGTAACCATTAACTGTTTTTCAGCTTTTTTCACTCTTATCTTCTCAAAGGCCTGCGCTTAATATGGAGAAAAGCTATCATGCAGTTAGCTCAGTAACTCATTTGTATCAATCTGCTAAAATGACAGCAGGCAGACAGCCAGGAGGCAGGCAGGCAGCAGATTCAGGAGTTTAACAGCTTTTTTTTCCCCTCTTCGTGTTATCACAGCAATAGCACATTCATCCTCTTTACACTTGTTTCATTGGCCAAGAAGGCTACCCACTGTTTGGGTATAAAGAAAAGGAGAACTGTTTATCACAGTGTCTCTGACAGCTTTCTTAGACAGATCACATAAAAGACTTGGAATTTTATTATGCATTCTGCCTGTGGAAGTGTGGCATTGCTATTCCCAGGTGTAATGGGAGAAAGCGGCACAGGTCTCTAAAATAAAATCATTGTGTTTTCTAGCTACGTTTTGGGATGCCGCATACCAAATTAAATAATGAGAGAGTTACACTGAACATTTTTACAAAATATCCTCCTGGGGAAATGACCTGGAACTCGTGCAAACATTTTTTTTATTGCTTTTAACAATTGGTTTCTAGTAGGCCTATTGTGCTGAGCTCCAGAAGAGAAGTCACACCCAGGTGCAGTGTAGTAAAGCCTGACCCCCACAGCAGGATCCACTAGCCTGACAGACTAAAAGAACTAACTCTTTGTAGTCTGGAATACAGAAGACTGAGAAGGGACCTGCTTCAGGTATTCAGAATTCTCAGGGGCAGTGAACAGTGCAACAAGCACTAGGCATAAAAGACATCAAGGAAGAAGTACATTTATAGCTGAGGACAAATGAGGCTTTTTTTGAAAATGTGTTGTGGTAGTATGGAATAAGTTAGCCAGCCACATTGTGGAACTGATATCCTTGCTTCTTTCGAAAAACAGCTGGATTAGATTTCAGGATCAGGTTGTTACTAGTATCAAGACGGGCTCAATGGGCTGGATAACCTCTTGTCTGCAGACTTTCTTAGGGCCTAAACAAATGTCTGGGGTTCTCCTGAGTCTGGGAGAGTGCTCACCTCAGCACAAGCTGAGCTTTGTGATCATGGGTTTGAGTCTGGGGTCATGGCACTAGCCAAGCGTGACCGGGATTTCCAAAGCTCATTCGGGCAGGGTGGAATAAGGTGAACAGCAATAAATAAAAATGGAAATGGGTAACTAAAATCAACCAACAAGGTGACAGGTAATTAATTGTAACCTTGGACATGCGTCTCGGTAATACCAGTCCTCTTATTCCATCCTACTGTTCCAGAGTTTCGAGCGTCTTGTAAAGCACTTTACTCAGAAATAAAAATTGTGTTATAATCACATGATCTCATACTAAATTCTTATAGAAATACCTGCAATTACCTTTAAAACTGTAAGTAGCATTAAAAAACCATGTCTGGAGCCAGGAGAAATCATACATATTTTAGTATGACCAAACAAGCAGACCTCTACATACTTCCCGATATATACTGTATACATAATTGTGTGCTTGTTAAACAAGTTTACTTTAAAGATATTCTCAACACATTACACATGGTTTCTGTAATTCATATCCCCTGCTTGTTAAACTAATAATAATAGTGAGTTTTCTTCTCTTACAATAACAATGCTATTTCCTTTGCAGCCAGTATACTGCTTTTTTTGTACATCTTTTTGATGCTGCAGAGTAAAAATGGAGGCTCATCAAACCCAGCCTGATCTGTTTTGACTTTGTTTCTAAAGACTATGCACAAGAATTATTTTAAGTAAATTGGTTTTGTCGTAATATGAACTAAAAACAGGCAACCCTAATTATAATTTCTTGACAAAAGTTCACATGCTTTGATTACAAACTTGATTCTGGATGAAAACCTGTTGGAGTCTGCAAAAGACCTGAAACTGGGACGGAGATTTATCTTCCAACAAGACAATGATCCCAAACATACAGCAAAATCTACAAAGGAATGGTTCACAAATAAACGTATCCAGGTGTTTGAATGGCCAAGTCAAAGTCCAGACCTGAATCCAATCGAGAATCTGTGGAAAGAGCTGAAAACTGCTGTTCACAAACGCTCTCCATCCAACCTCACTGAGCTCGAGCTGTTTTGCAAGGAAGAATGGGCACGAATTTCAGTCTCTCGATGTGCAAAACTGATAGAGACATACCCCAAGCGACTTGCAGCTGTAATCGCAGCAAAAGGTGGCTCTACAAAGTATTAACGCAAGGGGGCCGAATAATTTTGCACGCCCCACTTTTCATTTTTTTATTAGTTAAAAAAGTTTCAAAAATCCAATAGATTTCGTTCCACTTCACAATTGTGTCCCACTTGTTGGTGATTCTTCACATAAAATAAAAAATTTATATCTTTATGTTTGAAGCCTGAAATGTGGCAAAAGGTTGAAAAGTTCAAGGGGGCCGAATACTTTCGCAAGGCACTGTAAGTATCAGTTTAGAAGTGGTAAGAGGGCAGTGAAGTTAATCCTTTGTTTTCTTAATTATTCTTTTTGCTTAAGTACAAATACTTCTCATACTGTATATTGTGGAACACTATTTACATCTGGGTCTGGGAGATGGACTCTTGTCAGTGTCCTCGATTCTGCAGTCAGTCACTTTTCATGGAGATTCTTCCCTTCTTCCTCTTTGAAGCCCAGATCCAGAGTTTGTAGACTTTTTCTACCAGCAGGATTAAGTTCGTTAGAGGTTGAGGATGGGTGTTAGGGTTAGGGATTTTTATCGTGGAGAGTCTGGTGAGAGGGGATCCTTATCTCAGCAGATGAGTTAAAATATGAAAACAGTGCAGGATTGCAAAGTTGGAGGCTTCCATCAAAGCCAGCGCAGTAGTTTTCTGGCGTTTTCTGTGGAAAAGGTGGCAGCCCTCAAGCAAACCCAGCCATTCATCTGTCTCTTCAACTGGCGATTTTTTTGGTTTTGCCAGGTGTGGTTTATGTATTTTTTGTAGTAGTTGGCAACAAAATCTTTGTTTTTCATGTGGCCCGTCTAAGCGATTTGACTCGAATAGCATTCTCGATGTCAGCCAATATCCAACAGTTCTTCAAAGCAAATACAATATCATTGTAAAGAAAAGCTTCTTTTCTGTTTACCTTTCTTAGATGTTTTTGAGCATGTACTGTCACAACACCCCAATGGCTCACCTGGTAAAGGTGCTTACTCTGTGATTAAGGCATCACAGGTTCGAATCTAAGTCATGTCACCAGTTGACTGTGACCAGGGTTCCCTTAGCAGCCAAATCAGCAATGAGAGGATTAAGTTTGTATTGTCAGTTAATTCTAAAACATGCCATTATAACAGGGGTAGCACGGTGGCACACAGTTTAGAGTTATGATATGCTTTGTTGCTCCAGTTTTATCATTATCATAATGAAGAATTAAAAAATGAACAAGGTACATTCAGGGCAAAAACAATGTATCCTACTGTAATGTTCAAATTTTGAATCCATGCTTGTAATCTAAAATTGAAAAAAAAATGCAGTATAGAAGTCAAAGTTTTATGGAAGTACCACCAGGACGTCACCTTAAATGGCTCTACTCATGGGTTTCATCAGTAAAAAGAATTGATTGTTGTCCTGTTGCTTTGTCATATTATTATATTTTATGGACCCTCTGTTGCAATCTTTTGCAACCCAATCAAGATAGAAGTCAAGCTGACATTCTAGAAGACAACAAAGCTGTACACTTTCTCTCCTGTCCAGTGTGTTGGCCCACTGCAGCTTAACATTGACAATATTACTGTTATCTTGGTGTCTTTCGGACTGCATCAGAAAAACTCTGGATCTGGTGGATCTTGTGTGACAGCCAATTGCGAGCGTATTTGTGTCATGTTTAATCTGATGTGACATTGCAATTCTTTAAATGTTGGGACTTCTAAAGAATTTAGTT